TTCCTCGCTTGTGGTAGGGGCAGGTGGCAGGGGTTGGGAGCCCTTGTCAAAAGATGACCTCGCCACCCTGAGCGCGGCTGACAAAAGCCGTAAGGGCTGTAAGGTCGGACTGCTGGTGAAAAGTAGAGCAATTCCAAGAATAAAAGCTATCAAAAAGTACCCTAAGGGTCCAAGTACCCTATAGTCATATACTCACCCAAAACCGGTATCACAACTACTATTACCAAATTTCCAGGTACCAAGGTATTGGGTACGTGGACCATCAAAGAGCAGGAATCGAAGCTTTGCTTCAACTAAGTCATGCACCTCCGGCGTAGGTGTACATAGCCTTGCTTGCAGTAACTGTTATAACCCCCAAGTCCCGGATACTTCAGCAAACCCATGTGCCTCCGACGTTTTGCACAACCTACTCTGCACCTCTGGATTGTGTCCGCATATGGTATTGGGCTGGGCAAGCGCCTTGCCTTGGTAGCTTTTTGGCGTTCCTTAAGCCTGAAATGGGAGCTGCTAGGACCTGCCGCAGGCCTAAACTTCCAAATTTCTGCGCCTCCAGGAATCGCCGAGATGTTGCCAAATCTGGCTCGTGAGTCTCAGACAGGCCGCCTGGAGAAGGTTCTTGAAGGATCCTAAGTATGTGAAAAAGGATACTAACCAAAACTATTTTACATTTCCATAGCAGGGAAACCCTACATTATAGTTACTAGAATATATAGATGTTTAGGATCCTTTGGGGATGTGCTAGAGCCTAGACCGTATAGGTAAGGCGGTAAAGCCCAACGTACTTGGGATTTCTGTCATGCACGGACACAGGCTGGCATTTCCACATGTGATGTCCAATTGAGTCTAGAGCCTGATGATATACCTTCCCCCTGATTGCGGATTTCCAAGCAGTGGCTTCCTAGGTTATGGGGACCATTGGCGTATGTAGAGCCTAGGATCAGTAGCCCAGTTGTCAGCTAGCCAGGTTTCTATAGCTCAGTGGTAATTAGTAGGGTAAATGGGAGTAAAAACAATTTATAATCCCAAAATAACATGTTGCCTTCTTCCCTACTAACCTTAAACTCTCAGCCCTCAAACCCTCAACCCCAAAATATATTCCGTCATTCCCTACTAGCCTCCAATAAGATAAGGTTCCTGCCATACTAGGAATTCCTACATCATCCGAAGAACAGCCCTTGACTCAGGGCAATTGCGCTCCCAGTATTTCGGATTCTGGCCTAAATCTTCTTCAAGTAGGGCGTCTTGGGCTCTCTGGGCGCAGCTCGGCCATCAACATTAGCTCCCTAAACCTAGGTTAACCTAGGTTTAGGGTTTGGCCATGTCATCTTCCATTAGATTGCCAATGCGATCGAACCCACTTAACTTCATACGCACTCATAAACCCTTCATGTCCATTTCATTCCATGAACTCTAAACTTATGCTTGCCCATAAGCTCCCAAACCCTCAGGCCACCCAGAAACCCCTTAACAGGTTTCAAGCCCGGCCCCCAGTGGCCTAGGACGCCAGTGTTGGTTGCCTCCTCCTTGGACCAGTGCTCTGCAACCTCTTGAAAGCTGGCGGGGCCAATGGATTTCTGGGTGGTACTAGAAGCTTTTATGTAAACTCTAAGCCCTAAACCCTAACCCCAAAATCCTATAACCCTAATCCCTAAAGCTTGTACAAATCTTAGGAAGTTCTTGCCGCTGCCAAAATGCCACCTAGTTTTGGGTCCACAGGTTGAGGGTCAAGAGTTTGACATGAGGATTGAGCGTTTGACGTGTGAGGCTGAAGGGGCTAGGATTTAGGGTTTAGGGTTCGGATTCTCTGCTTCAGGCCCTCTGGAGTTACATGGTTTACGGCTTCGATCGTATGTATAGGGCTATGCATCTACACGGATTTGGGCTTAGGGCTTGGAACTTGGGAGCTTGCAGTTGTTTCTCAGAGCTACACATGTAGCGTTCTCGGCCGCGTACAGTTTAGGTTTTACGCACTATAGTTCCCTGGATCCATACCTATAGGCAAGCACTTAGAGGCCGGTTGAGTCTGTTCCTCGTTGGCTTTTGCTAACACTGAAACTGTTAGGCGCGGGTCGCCAGTGAGGAGAGATGAAACAAGGCTTCGGCAAAGTTGCCACCAAAATCATCGCAACCGTGGTCTCTCGATCCTCTATAAAGGCACAACATGCCGCATGGAATCCCTCTGAGACACCTGACAGCACCCCCGAGAAATCTAAGAAAGCAGCAATCTGTGCAGAACCCGTACATGATCAGCATCAAAATTGAAACGGCGCCTTATCATACCAGCTGCCCTTGATGGATTTCCAGAAGGCGGTGATGTCTGCGTAGCGACGATCATGGCTGTCCGTGCCGGGCTCCTCAAGGCATCTGGGGCTGCACGGTAAAACCCACCGAGAATTCCGAAGTTGTGTTCGTATCTAATTATGGCAGATTGCAACCCCATGCTGCAGCGATTCAAGCTCCTATCCCCGGGGAGTTGAGGACACCCGGAAAAAAAAAACCACCTTTAGCAAATATCGCTGCGGCCTAGAAAAATCCAGAGTTCATGGCATACGGTTGCACCTTCGCACCAGAACTGAGCTTAAAACTCCAAATCCTCATGTTCTGCAAGATCTCATGATCAACCCCCGGACGGTTCATCTCCACACCCTCCATGCAATGGCTTGGGACTATAGACTAGACCTCCTTGAGTAGATAGAATACGGAGTATGTGGGGATCTTGTCATAATATACCCAAAACCATATTCTATCTACTTAAGGGGGACTATACAGTGTCCAGAGGTTGCAAGCACCACAAACCCTTGGAGTCCTTGCTTCTCTGTTTCTTGGCCGCAGGTCGTTTTACAGCGGGCCTAAGGGTGTGTGGAGACTTGAAGGCTTGTGTTTGGAGTGCAGATTCCATCTTCCTTTGAAAAGGATAGGATACTTTCCATTACCATTATGACTAGCACTAGCATGATTGTCGATACTGTTATGATTCTTAGTGACAGTATTGCGATTCTCAACGTTGTTGCTACGCAGTACTATATTGTTACTGCAGACCAATTCCTCTACAATCACAAATCCCCGAGATGAAGACGATGATGTGATACAGGTCGTTTGCACCCGGCCAAACAGGATGAGAGTTGAGGGGCACCAACTCATACCATGTGAGAGATAATCTACACTCCTAATATCCCCCTAGTGGGCAAACCCAAATCTACATGGCTGCATCCCAGAATCTTGGCAGTCCCAAATACTTTATGGCCTGTGTTAGAAATCTCAGCCAGAGCCCACGCTCCCTCTATGTAAGTGCGAAGCCCTTAATCTTACATCCTAAAACCCATAGGCCCTGTAAACCAATTCCCCACCCGAAGCACCAAACCACCAACCTCCTGCTTTCTAGCCTGTACACTTTAAGCCCTGCATGGTTTTTGACCGCAAGCGTTGCGCCCTATAGACCCATAGATCTTAAAGCCCAAAACTCTACAACGACCAAGCCCTTGCCCTATGCCCCTATGGACCCCAAACCCCTATCCAGGAGCTGCTATGTCGTTCCTTTGTGGGTTTCTGATGGTTGGCTGGTGGGGAAGTTTGGTTTACTACCCAAAGGAAGTATTTTGGAAACCTGGGGTATGTCTAAACCCCCAACCCCAAAACCTTACCCTATAGGGATCCCAGAGGGGGCCAATGTAGGTACCATTAAACACACTAGGCCCGATGCATGAGCATGGTTTATAGGCGTAGGGGCCCAAACTAGGAATTAAGTCGAGACGTTAAGGCCAAAAGTCGGTCTGATTGTGAGACTTGGATTTGGAGGATAAGCCAACTTTAAACCCAACCCCAAACCCCAAACCCTACACGCATAACCCTACCGAAAAGGTAAAGATACCACACTATTAGGCATAAAGCGCCTTTTTATAGATACATTGGTTACCCGGGGTAAACCTCACCCCAAAACCCTCAACCGTGAAATGTCAGGGCCCTGCTTTCGCACGCCGCTTTGCTGCTTCGACCGCTGCGCAGCGCTAGGACGCTTCATGGCTCAGCTTTGACCCTGCCCCAAGCTACCTCTTGGCAATGTAGGGATCTATCAGTCTGTAAGTCTATGGGGATAACATGAAGACTATGTCGAGCTTTTCACAGAAGTATCGGGCTTAGGGCTTCAGGTTTAGTATCAAGACTGCCTACACTTCGCCAGGTTTAACCGCGTCAAAGCGGCAAGGGTGATTATGCCCTTGGTTGTGGGAACGGTTCCTATTTCGTGGTTTCCGTTGCAATCGCTTTGCTGGGTTGTTGTTACGAAACCTGACTCAAGTTACCATGATATAGGGTTTAAGGTTCAGAGATTGGGGACCTTCCAGAATGGAGAATCAAGTGGAAACAACCGGGAAAATTACATGGAACTAGGCTTAAGTAGAGTTTATATAGGGGGCTTTAAGAAACCCCGAATGGATGCATGTAAGCAATATGGTTTTCGGATAGTGGTAATTCAATTTAAACTCATCAATAGCAATCCGCTTTTCGGGTCGGGCCTCTAGCGGTGCACTAGAAATGAACAGGGGCCAAACACACTTACCGCTATCCCTTGTGGCGACTAAGACATGTCCTTGGGATTAGGAGCCAAGTCATCAGCTGCTGCTGGTTTGAACATGGTGGCTCGGATAACCATGACATAACGGCGGTTTAGGGCTTAGGGCTTCATGTGTTTGAGGGCAGTAGGCAATGTGTGTTCGGGCAGCAAGGGCTGCGCTTCAGAGGGATCTTGCTGTAGCTTTTTCTGAGAGACCTCCACGTCAGCTCATGTGGTTATTTCTCAAAACTGCGGTTCCCTCATTCTATACCCCGGTGCAAAACATCACTTCCTTCTCCTAAGTCCGCATACCCTTCTGCCCACCACTCCCCAAAAGAAACCAAAGACGCGTCAAAAGCAAAACGCCCCAACCGCACCCCCTCCTCCCACCCTCTCTCCTAAGCCCTACACCCCCTCCCCTAAACCCTAGACCCACATTTGATCTCCCGGCCTGTGATCGTACCGTTGCCTGCGCTCTGCGCGGACTTTCTCAACCTGTCAGGTGAGCTTTCAATGATACCATGATTTGGGTCATCCACCTTATGAGAGGGACTCATATGATGTCATAGGATCCTCGTCTGGAGGGTTGGGACTGTCAAAACCCTCTTCTCACATGTAATAATCCCAATATTGGGTGTTACAAAAACCCCTCTCACCTTGAATCAACATGCCGGGCACGGTGAAATCAATAACATGTTTTGGAAGCTTCTCAAAAAAGGGGCTCCACAAGCCTTCCATTCCACTCCTGTAAGTTCTGGGAGTCCTGTGGGTTTAGGTTTCAGGGTTCAGGGTTTAGGGTGTTGGATACTACCCACCCGTAGAATACCCACCAGTAAATGGGTCATCTCAGATGGTAAGGGAACATGGGCGTCCCTGTTTGGGATGGCGTAGGGATTTAACTGGGAAATGCCCAGATTATATCGACTATGTGTAGGACAGTGCAACGTCCTGGCGGGGACTCTTCTGAGCAGTCCATCAAAGAGGTTACAAGGTAGCAACTTGGGTGCATAACTCACTAGGTCACTAGGTATAGTTGATTTACTCACTACAACTTACCAACAGACCAGTTGGGGTAGACGTAGTCAATCATGCTTGGGGTGGTTCATTCAATGCGTCTCAGGTCCTAACGTTGGGGCAACGACAGCGAACTTCTGGTACGCTGTCGACTAGAGCGACCCTAAGCCCTAGCCCTGAAATCCATGTTTCCACGCCTGCTCGGGTGTCGGTGGCCCTGTGGGAAAATCCCACTGGGTCACCCCTGAAGGGTTGTGGCTGAAGTAGACCTGATCGCCAGCATGTATTATCTAGGGGAATCCAACTTTATGGGAAGTCAGAACACGGAAGCCAGGTACCCCACAGAGGGAATTTAGCTTGGGCTCCAGAACATGGAGCCCATGGTCTGAGTATACATACAGTGCCAGAAAGTTGCAGAGCCATGGATGCATAGACTACCCCAAACTAAGATGGAACCTGAAAAAGGTCCCATACAGACCACTTAGTGACTACTGTCCTGTTAGACGGGAGCCATAGGGATTTCCATGTTAGTTGCGGACACGACTAGATGCATGTTTTCGATGAAGGAAACCCCTTCATTCAACCCTAGCTAGAGTAACCTACATACCCAGGAAGCACGGGGATGTGTGTCCCATAGTTTGCACAAGTATCTTTGCAGTTTTCAGGGTTTAAGTCCATTCAAGCCCAAAACAACTCAGAACCCTATATCTGTCCTAAGCCCCAGGCACCCCGCGCAGGAGAGTGGACCTCAGACCAGCCGTCAGGAAGCTCCACTCCCTTTCGCGTCCTGTGGGTATGTAGGCTAAGGCCAAGGCTGGCTAATATGGAAGTTTTCGGAAATCAGGAACCCTAAACCCTAAACCCTAGACCCTAAACCCTAAACTTCCCTTTTAGGGGATCCCGAGAATAAGGTTTGTAATATTTTGGAGTCTAGATGGGGTCCACTGGTATGGAAACTACCAAATACAAATGCCATGTTTAAAGGGCTTAGCTTCACATGCGGTTTTGGGGCTGGGGTTTAGGATTTGGAGCTGGCGATTAAGATTTGCGTTTTTGTTGGCTTTTAAAGTCTAAGCGTCTAGGATTTAGGCTGTGCGGGTGGTGTGGGTTTACGACTTACAGAGCGCAATTAGAAGGGGGAGGCGGGCAGGCTTGTAAGTAGGGTCTAGCGTCTAGAGGCTTGGCGTAGTAAAGCTTCAAAAAAAAAAGCTCAAAGAGCAGGATTGAGTCTGCATGCAGCACTCACTTTGTTGTTGTCAGACTCAAAGCGTTGGAGAGAGCTAGGGACTGGGTCGGGATTGAGGGTCCTTCAATGTGTCCATAGGCCCATATCGGCAAGGGGACTCCCCATTGACTCCCTGAGCAAGGAAATCTAGTTGTTCGCAGATGGTAACATGCCCAATTTCTAGGATGCATGATGACTGGCAGCCCAAGAAGGAGAATTGCAAATTTAGGAGATTCTGTGCACATTTCCTGGTGGTCACAGTACTTGGGGGACGCTGGGCCTTTGGTGGTGCAAGAAATCATCAGTCAGCCCCATGCCAGTGGAAGATTACCAAGCACCAGAGGCACATCGACCCTCAGAGGTGTTTGCCAGGTTAGCTATCCCTGTGACGTTAAGTCTCTTTTTCTTCTTCTTCTACGGGCTTTACGACACCCGAGGGTGTCGTGGAGGCGTACCCCCAGCCCCGCGGTCCCAGGTTTCAGGCAGGGATGAGTGTTATGAACATTGGATCGTGGACCAGACCTTAAACCCCATCTTTTACGCTATACTCCAACCTCCATCCAATGCACATCTCTTTCCCGGGAAAATCGTCTGACACGTTGAGCCGAGGAAAGGTTGGTATATGGTGATCATTTCCCGCTCACTTTACCCATTCTCTTGGATCACCATGTACCCCTTGCATCTCACTGCTCCGGAAAATCTTTCGTACTCCCAAAAGGGTTCGGGTAAATTTTGTACATATTTCCAACATCTCTACTTCTTGCACTGGGGCTTCACCTTGTTCGAATTTCCCTACCGCTATCGTCTGAATTGAAATCTTTGCAACCACTCTTCGAATTTCCGCTATCGTTGCAGCTTCAATTACCTGCTTCCTTCGTCCTCAGGTCATGGTCCCTACTCAACCCATCGGAAACCTATCCCGCAACCTAACTTAATTTCCCTTGGACTCGGGATGTGCAAATTTCGTGCTGGATCGTTATGGTCTCGGTATACCCGTCCCCCGCCAACTTATGTGGCAAGTTCCAGGCGGCATGCTGAATTCACTTCTCTCCCTTTCCTCAAACCCTTGAAAAATTCTTTCTCGGTATGGTGCGTTATCTCTTTCCAGTGTTGACACGTTGTATCAGTTTTGTTCGATCTGGTCCCGGATGAACTTCTCCTCTATCAAGCGTGCATCTCCTCCATTAATTGTTCCATGAGTAGGACTCCCATCTTGCTTTGTAGCCTCCATCTGTTGCAGTTGTAACCGCTCTGTCGCTTTTTGCAGTCTGCCATTCCTCTTCTTCTTCACCTTGCAGCTTGCTCAGCAGTTTTTGCAGTTCCTCATATGTGGTTCCTTCTCGGACCCCTTCGTCCAAGTTATAGATCCTTTTCGCAAGCTCCTCCTCATCTCTTCTTGCTTGATCTTTGTTCTATTCTTTCTCCCACACCTGGCGGCACTCCTCGCTTTTCCCAAGCCACAGCACCCAATATGCAATCTGTTCGATGTCACTGTGGCGGGGTGCCCGCGCCGGCTCAGCAGGTTTTGTATCGCTGTGCCATTTCCAGTCTTGGCGTGGCGTCTTCCCACCTTCGGCGGGTCGCTCATCTTGTGTGACCATTGCCTCTGTGTCGGAATCTCCCTCTATTGGTGTTTCCTCCCCCGGTCTCATTGGCGAGGCTGGCCTTTCTTGAGGAATGCGGGTGCGCTCCTCCTCCGCTGTTGGGATTTGCCTCATTTCCCTGGCTGCCTCTGGCCTAGCAGCTCCTTGTCTTGCTGCTTCCTTCCAACCTTGCGACCGCCAACTCGTCAATCTTGCTTTCGTCCACTCTTGCACTTGCCGGTGGTGGGATCCTTTGTCTCCTTTCTTCTTTGGCCGTCTCCGCCTGCTTTCTCTCCTTTGTATTTCCACTGGCGATGTGTCTCTTACTGGGGTCGTCTTCCTCGGGCTTCCTCTTGGCGGTTGGCGTCGTCTCTGTTTCTCGCTTGCTCGCGGCCTGCCATCCCAGTATCTCTTCCACCATGTCCGGTGAATCCTCCCTTTTCTCAGCTTTCGTCTCTGTCTTTTTCTTTTTCGTTGTACTTGGCAGCTGTTCCCTTGCCGTCTTTGTCTCCGTCTTCCTTTTTGCCGTTCCAGTCCCATCCTGGTCCTCACTCTTTCTCTTGGTCGGCGTCCTCTTTTGCACTGTTCTCTGGCTCGAGGTTGAAGAGCTGCTTGAACTGGTTGATGAGGACTCCCTTTTCCCTGGGGGCGCCTTTCTCTCTTCAACTTTTCCATATTCCGCATCACTTCTTTGCAATGCGAGTTCCAGCAACAGTCGGTGGTGTCCTTTTCTTCCTCCTCTTGCCGCTCTTTTCATCTGCTCCATCGTAGCTCCCGCCACAATTTTTTTGCACTCCTTCTGGTACGTGTGGCTGCCCTTTGTTCCCAGCGCACATACCAGGCAGATTCCGTTCCCTTTCTCAGTTGTCGAGGAGCCGGTCGCCTTGTCTTGTCCTTCGGTTGTTTTTTCCACCTTCTCAGTCGTTGTCGCCGAGCTTGTCGATGATGAGGCCTTCTCTTCTGTATCGTTGCTTCCCGACGGCTTTTCCACTGTAGTCTCCGCTCGTCGTTCCTTTCCGGTTCCCACAAGCTGTGGTGTGCTGCAAGTTCGAGGCTCCATGGCTGACTATTTTCCACTCTCCCTTTAACTCCCAAGTTTCCTGCACAGTAGTGGAAGCCGAATGCTGCCACCTTAGGTTCGAGTACAAAGGTCCTGGTAAATCTCCTTACGCCAACTCACGGCAACTCCTAAGCCGAAGAATGAAACCAGAACACACTCCCTTCCCGAGGTCAGGGTTCTCCGCTCAGGGGGCTTATGTTAACTCCGGAATCCAGAATAGGAAACCAAACTTCCTCGTTCGTACACTTACCCTCGCGGAGGGGCGTCCCCTGATGGCTCGGTTTGATCTTAAATGGGCTTCGGCTATGGGGCCTCAAGCCCCCACCGCCAGCGCACTCGTCCACCCGCCCTCCCCCAGGGGACACACCCCAAGGGAGGGACGGGCCGGTGTCTGGCGTGCCCCCCGAAGGGACAGCACAGGTGGAGACTTGAGCCAAAATGGCTACGTCAAGTCTCTCTCTCTCTCTCTCTTTCTTAAAGACCTTCAGTGGGCTCCTGGCAGTTCGATACCTCGCCTACTGGGTAAATGAACCTCTGCTCTTCTTACAATTCTTACAAGAACCGCTACGAATCGGCTAGCAGAGCATCTCGACGATACCACCTTGCCTGAAACCGACTGAGGAACATGACTTGCCCCAAAAAAGCGAGGGGTCGCATCTCTCCCAATAACCAGCAGAACGAGAAGTAGACACGTGTAGTGTTAGAGGCGCTGTACCTTGAACGCTCGCGCGGTCCGAAAAAAGAGGGTGGCTCCTCTGCCCAAGGTTGGATTCAGAGGCCCAAGCAGTAGAGTTAGGGGGACAAGCTTCAGAATGGGCAAGTTTCCGGGCCTACACAAGTTCCCAGGCTGTCAGAGGTTGTGCCTTAACCCAAAAGGTCCATGTACCCAATAATTAGTTACGTACTTGGGTTTTGGGTATTAGTAATGATAGTAATTACTGTTTTTGGATCAGTATATGATTATTAAGTACTTGAACCCTTGGGGTGAGACAAAAAGGGCTACGGAAGCAGGCTGGACACAAAAAGCCTTTCTCAATAATGTGGGGCCATTACATCGGGGTATCTGGGAGAACATTGGGGTTAATGGTGGTTAAAGGATCAAAGCCAGCTGCTGGAGTAAAGTGCCCAAGCTTCAACTCTCTGACTGTGTCTCTCATGGCTGGGTTTCTGTTAAGGAACTTAAATTAAGGTACCATAATGGGTATATACAGTAAATACTAGGGTTTCCTCAATATACTAACTTAAATTAAGTTTCCTTAACAGCAACCCAGATGGTAGGGAAGTATTGAATAATCCTACTCGTAGCATGGTTGCCATGACCCGATAAGCACTTTCCGTATTCGACACTACCGCAGTGGTATGATTGCTGGGGGCCCCTTATGTAGCAAGGCCCTAAGCTCTAAGCCCTGCACACTAAACGTGGAACCCCAGGCCCTCCACCCTAAAAAGCCTTATAGACATCCTAAGTTACTGGTTGTGGAATAGAATAATTTCCCTACATGAGCTTTTGTCTAACTCCTAGTATCTCCCTTGATATCCCCTGTAGTCCCCATATAAAACCTTATTTAACCCCCTTTAAGGAGTGTAGACTATGGCTCCTATATTCCCATATTCCCTACTAACTCCCAGGAAGCTAAAGGATCCTAAGTATCTGTAAGCTCGATACTAACCCAAACCATATCACTGTGATTCCCTAGTAAAGGAACCCTAGATTATACTATACAGATACTTGGGTCCTGTAGGTAAGCTAAACTCTTAGCTCCGGCCTAGGCTTGTTGAGTTGGAAGCCTTTGCAGGCAAACGGTCGGTTATCTGAAAACCCAAAGGGTCCATGTAGCTACATAGCATAGGGTTTAGGGTCTTGCAATTCGGGGTTAGGGTTTACGGATTAGGGATTAGGGTTGGGTTTAGGGTTTAGGGTATACTTAGGGCCCAAAGGAGTTCCCATATACCTACTTTAAGGTCCAAGTATACCATATAGCCACATGGACCCTTTGGGAAATGTGAGAGCCATCATAGTCAGCTCCACCACTCCAGATTGCCCACTACCGAATTTCAAACAATCTTCTAGGATTTCCATTGCCATTTCGTAAGTCTACATCGACGGTTGTCACAATGGACCTTTTTGGGTCACCTGTATGATACAGCCCGTAACGTGCAGGATGCCCGAAACAACAGAACTTGACAATCTCCAACACATGTCACACAGCCACTATGTGTTCTACAGGGATTCTGTAAGGATTATCTTCTTCTACTCCCGTATTCCCTACTTTAACCCCAATAGAAACCCTAAATCCTAAACCCCCGATTATAAGGTGGTATCACTGTAGTCTCCCTAGAGGTATAAAAAATCAGGTTATACTGTAGTAAAAATTGAAACATAATGCCAATTCTTACACATCATGCTAGGCGACAGCAAAGCCTGGCTTCGGTTTCCCTTGGATTTAGTTGACAACAAATTCCTACTTGGAGGGTCAGTGGGACTGATTAAGTGGGTTAATAACCCCTAAAAGCCCATATAGTAACCCTGGTTATCCTAACTATTAACCTACTCACTAAGTCCCATGACCTTCCAAGTAGACCCTCCAACTACCTTTTCTCCGAGTCGAAGCACTCGCCATTAGGGACCCTATAATACCAATGAAGGTATCAGGATGGTTTTGTTCCGGAAGTGAGGCGGGGTATTAGGTTCAGGGTTTAGGTTGAGTTATAGGTTGCTACCGGACGTTACCATACATAAGGCCTCCACTGAGGGCTCAGGTCATCCTACCCGTGCATGCCACATAGCTTTTTGGAACTTCTACTACAACCTCCGGTAGACAGCCCCCTGTTTGCCGATCTCTTCCCACCTTTTTTCGGAGCATGTTGAAAGCCCCTGCTGGCCACTTTAACCCTTCAGCTTGAAACCTGGATTCTCTTTAAAGGAGTGATGAAATTCAGCAATCCTTCCTGAGTCCAGTTGACGAAGGAGCGCAAAGTCGACCACCTGGATCGTGCCGAGCCAATTTTAGACAACAAGTGGATTGTTGTTACCCCAAACTCCTTTTTTCGAAAAGGACCCCCTAAGAGTCACATGATACTTGTAGGGCCCACTTTTGGGGTTGGAGTGAGTAGAACTCTCTCATTGTAATTTCAATGCTCCATGAAGCTGACGAACTTGGGGCTTTCCAGCAGTATTGGAAGCTTGCGAGGAATCCTCGCATCCTCGCGGTACTTCTTGCAGTCCTACGGTGGATATAAAGAATCCCGCGTGACCCTAAGTGACCTAAACCTTGGGAATTATAGTATTATAGTATAGTAAGGCCATGCAGGATTTTTAGTATCAACAGTATAATGTCCCAAACGACCCTAAGTCTATGTATTAGAATGTAGGGTTTCTATACTTGGGAATTAGAATATGGTTCCGGTTAGTGTCCTTAAAATACCTGAAAGGACACTTAGGATCTGTTATGGGTGGTTCTGCTGAGCAAGTGATGATTTCCCCTCGGCCTAAGCTGCTAGATCAGCTTTCCCCTAACCCAAAGGGTCGGTATAGCTACATGGTACATATTTGGGCTTTTTGAGTAAGTGTATGGGAACCCCTTTGGGCCGTAAGTATATATCATGTACCTAAATGGGCGCTGTGAGTAAGGGTCCCTGTACTAAATGCCCATGTACTTTCCCAAAGGCATTACGGTTACGGAGCTGTTATGTACCCCACACATGGAACATAGCCTGCATTCTGCTGAGAAGTACTTAGTCCATTGTAACTTGGAACCTTAACCGTAACACTAAACCCCCTAGCCATTGACCCTAAAACGTAAACCCCGTCACCCCGGCGATCCTGCGCTTGAAATCTCAAACTAGGCTCCAAGCCGCAAAGCCCTAGATACAAACTGGGTTGCTGTTACGGAACTTAAGTTAAGTTTAGGGTTTAGGGTTTAGGGGTTATCATATTGTTTTGGGTATACAGTAAACAATGGACTTTCCTTGTTCTAGTAACTTAAGTCAGGTTCCTGAACAACAGCCCAGCAATACACTAAACACTCCCTCGTAACAGCTGGGGCCTGACGCCAACAGCAGGCATTCGGCAGGCCTGCAAAGAAGGGGTTTCTCACATAAAGCTTAAACTGCATTCAACAAGGACACTCACCTCTGGGTCCCTTTCGAAGAATTATATGAACCGCAGCTTCTCTGTGGAAGATGCCAAATTCAGGTCCCGTTCGCAATTCTGCCATTTCATGAAGCAACAAACTTGCAAATTTTCTCTTTTCGGTACAGAAACACCCGTGATCATCACAGGAGTATGAACCCACATTTGTGGTGTTCTTCTGGGAGTGCTTCTTTGGGATCCTAGTGCACTGAATCTACAACCGCCCCAATAGACTGCTCCTCAACAACGCAGGGCACGCTTGAAACTGCATTATTGATGCAACTAACCCTATAAGGATCCAAATAGCCCACGTGTAGGTAATATGTATAGACTTTAGGGCCCAATGTAGGCATTGCTTGTGTACTTGGGCCCCTTCTCCTTCCAAAACTGCGGAGCCTTGGAACTTGAACTCTCGGTTCTCACGCCCAAGAGGGTCCGTGTAAGTGCATGGTATAAACTTTTAGGGCCCAAAGGGGTTCCCATATAACTACATCGAGGCCCAAGTATATACCATATGGCCACATGGACCCTTTGGACCCTGCACTTCAGCAGTTGTCAGTCTCTATGGTGCTCCCCTTTTCAATGTCACCACGTAGTCCAAATGGAGCATCAACACAATTATGAAAGGCATTCCTTCCAAGGGGTACCTATACCAAAAGTTCCAAATACAGTAAACGTTAAGAACCCTGATTTTAAGGAAATGCTCAGATGTAGCCTCAAACTACGTTAGGTCATCCCCCCACTCACTGTCAGTGACCAAAGGGATACTAGCAAGGGCTTCAAGGGTCCCAATATGGTAGGTTGTCAAAGATGTGGTGCATTTAACAGGTCTCTAGTACAATACGGCCCCGATACTCAGGGCGCCCAAACAGAATTTGGAAAACCTCAACAATTGTTCCTGCTATCCTGCAACTACATCTCGGAGGCCCATGGGCACCCAACACCCAGTTATGTTTGCAGCTATCATTCAAGTACAAGCTACCAAGGTCCCCTATCTGGTTTTCATGGACTTACACATGCAAAAATAACTACCCATGGAGGGATTACAAACAGACAAGCCGTCAGCTGCCTTGCTCACTTGCAGGGAGGAGGACCGCCTGGGCTTCGAGCAGCTTGTGTTTGGGAAGTTCCGCATCTGGATCGCAGTGGCAGCCATAGCCTACGTTCTAGAGAGTCAGCCCACTCAAACCGGCGCAAACATGGAGTCTAGCAGGACTACGCCAACTTCGGACTATACTTCTCGTTATCCTACAAGCCAGTACTACTGTGGATACTCAAAATCCTGCATGACCCTAAATACCCTAAACCTAGGGAATAATGGTACTACAGTATACTAAGGTCATGCAGGATTTTTAGTATCAACAGTAGTAGGAGCATGTTTTCCTGCCACTCCGAGAGCCTAGATTGAAGCCTAGGGTTTTGGGTATATTCCGACCATGTAAGGGTAGCAAGGCACAATAAGCAACCCCCAATTACACCAACATACCATATCCGCATGAAGACCCCAAAGCATAGTTGTCAGCGCCGGGTTTGTCCAAAGGCCTCCCAAAGTGAACCCTGCGACCGTAAACCAACCCTGAACCCAAAACCATGAACGCTAAACCAAGGTCTAGGAAGCAGGCGCAGACAGCAAGGCCGCCATCGTGTTGCAGGATCTGTCGTCCGCTAACAACTCAGCATATGTCTTTACTACCACTCAAGAAGCTACGTTGCGTGCTTGAAATGAGGTATCTGCCTGGCTGCCCCTTGCATATCGGTCCCATGTTCCCACTCAAAACCCCAATTCCTAAGTGGAGTTTGAAGCTAAGATGTGAAGACATGCCGGCAGTGCGCAAGTCCTGAAATCCTCTTCAGAATACGGGCCCTACGTATTGAAAACACTGCCCCGGCCTTTGTGAACGTACATTTTTTCCGTATTCTGCGCTGTGTCTGGGAAATATCATGCAACTACAAAACATACAACTCCCAAATGCCAGAATAGTATACTCCCCATCGACGTTGAATCCAAAAAATTCAGCATGACTCTTAGTACCCTAAACCTTAGAAACTTTGGTACCGCAGTATACAAAAGGTTTGACGTTTAGGGTCTCTAGGGTCCATGGCTTTTTAGGACTGGACAAGTATGCATGCGATAGAAAGCCCCACTTGAGCCGAATAGGGGCTATAAAGAAGTCAAACGGCTTAGTAGGGAATGTGGGAATATAGTATATGGGGATTATCAAAGGGTTATAGGGGTTATGCCCTTATTCCCTACTAAGAACCAGTAAGTTAGATGGTTGCTGGTGCGAAGACGCTTCCCCCAAAGGACACTTTTGCAACCCTCCACATGCCCTGAAGGGGGCTTTTTTTCCTAATAAGATGCATGGTACACAGAGTACACATGCTAATGCGGGGCCAAAATAAATTTGCCCCCAAAACATGTAGACCCTGTAGCCGATCCCTGACGGGCCAAGTACCCAAATTAGCACATGACTTGGGCGCAGCATATTGATATAGGAGGCCCAGGTGGGTCGAAAATATGTACTACTGTTGATACTAAAAATCCCGCATGACCTTAGTAGACTATAGTACCATTATTCCCAAGGAATATGGTACCTAGGGTCATGCAGGATTTTTAGTATCCACCGTAGTTAGATACTTGGACCTTTAGGATATAGTCTTAACTCTAAGGTTGAAACCATGGGCCATTAGTATGGTCCCTTAGTCCTTGGATCTTTATACACCTACTATATACCCTATATGTACCCTTAAGGGCCCCTAGAATCCTCCTAAAAGGCCGAAGGGACCATGTTTGGGGCCCATACTTTTAACCTTAGACTTACTTGATGGTTAGCATGCCGGCGCCTAAGGTTGAACGTGGCCCTTCAACACTGCAGGCTGCCACCAGGCTGGCATGGCCATTGTACTAACCCAGCATATGAGCTGCACTTAGGACCCCGACTACGGCTTAGCCCCTAGGTACCTATAATAGGAGTATGAGTGAATCCCAAAGCGTTAGGGGTCTAAGGAAGGAGCTAGGTCTACAGGGGAGCTGTGTGGGGGCTTGTACATGGGATTATTATAGGGGTTAGTAAGCGGGACACTGGGAGTTTCAACCATGGCTTGTATGGTCATTGAAGCAGCCACGCACTTGCTATGCCTTCTACGAACCCAGCAGTCCTACCATATTCAAAAGCAAGCCAATGCTGTTTCGATTCCCCTCACTCGCCACACTACTATCTTCCCAACATCTCTTCCATGTGCTATGGTGGCTCCTAGACGAAGTACCTGAAACCCCAAAAAATATGTAGAATAATAGCCTTTTGGACTGTTTTCAGGATTTTGGGCTATCATTTTACCTACTTTGGGGGTCCAGATAAGGTTGTCGCGGCGAAGGCGCTTAAGTAGATAGAATATGGGGTATATGGGGATCTTATTATAAATGCCCAAAGCCATATTCTATCTACTTCAGGGGGACTATAACCCAAGAACCAAATCTGCCTCCGGCAGGAGACCTGACGTCTCCACCAGGGACCTGCAGTAGACTGGGTTGCTGTTGAGGAACTTAATCTAGCTTATCATAATGGATATATATATGTATATAGATAGATATTATGTATGTATATAAGTAGCTAACATGGTTTCCCCAATAGGGAGTAATTTAAATTAAGTTCCTGAACAGCAACCCAGCAGAATAACATGCAGAGGCCGAGTGTTGCAAGAAGGATCTACCAGTTTTCTCTCCCCTTATCTAACAAGCAACCCAACAGGAGATTATCCTTTTTTCAGATGCCTAAGTTCTTGTTTTTGAGGGAAAGGTCTGAGAATCAGGATTATCCAATGACCCCAACCCTTGCAGCAAAGGACCCTATGATTGTCTTATAGCTGCTTATGACTTCAGCCTATAACGTCGGGACAGCAAAGAAGACTCCAACTCGGCTTCTAGGGCCTTTTTGTGTGTACAAAGTCCCTGCCTGAAGCTACTACATCTAAAAATCTCGCGACCGCTACAGACCATCAAAGAATGCACTTCTCAAAAGCTGAATGAATAAAGATTCACGTGCACAAACTTCTGAAACCTTGCCAGGAATCGCCAGAATATGGGGCCGCGTCGAAAGGTGGTGGGCGCTTTTGCCCCAGAGCTAGCCCTTTAGGCTCCATTTGCCTATGCGGTTCTTGGTCTTATGGCACCCAAGCATGCCTTTACATATGAATTTCTCCATTGTTTTGTCAGAGCGCCTCATGCACTAGCCTGTAGATGTCAAGTACTGATCTGGATGAAGGAAATTTCGCAACACCTAATCTACCCTACGTTCTAGGAGTTGCAGTATAGAGCTTCTAAATAGGTGCAAGATTTCCTCATCCAACATATGTGCCATAGTCCAAACTCCTAGTATCGCCCTTAATAACCCCTATAATACTCCCCTACATAATCCCCTATATACCCCTTTAAGGAGTTTAGACTACAGCTCATATGTAACATGATGCAACCAAGATCATGGCCTCAATGTGGGCAGATGCATCGTAGCTGGCTCTCCTGTCTGGCTGCGTACATAGCTGTGTTTCTTACTATGGTGTTGCTTTTACTACGGTGGTTTTTTTACTATGGTGGATACTAAAAATCCGGCATGACCCTAACTAAGTACTTTACACCTTGGGAGTTCTGGTCATTTTGTGTACGAAAGTGCCGGATTTCTAGTAGCAACACAAGGTATGCTGGTGTTATGTCACGATTCTTTCACTATAAGGCTGAAGCTTAGGGTCTCCGTTGGCAGATCCGAGATTGTAGACCACAAGGGGTCAGTGTTGATAATCGTAGCAGGCGCAAATGCAACGGCTAAAAGTAGTGTTCCTGATCGAGTTTGCTACAGCTCCCAGAGAGAGAGTATCCCTGTTCTCCCTTGAACCCCAGCAGCCCAGTTCTCTGGTCACACTAGTCCATCACGGCTTTTCCA